ATGTGCCTGAAGAGGCTCAACTACGACCGCAAAGAGCTCGAGAGGAGGCGAGAAGAGACCCAACACGAAATCAAAGGTCAGCAGCCACCTTGCACCATCCAGCTCTGGAAAAAGGAGATGAGAAACCTCCCAAGAGATGCCCAGGGATGGTCCTTTTCCTATCCCTTGTTTTAACACAGCATTTGTCTTGAGTGTGAGGTGTCCCTGCCCACGGCAGGGGGGTTGGAACTAGGTGATCTTAAGATCCTTTCTAATCCAACTATTCTATGATTCTATAAAAGCCTTATTTCCGAGCAACCCTGCCCCAAGGGGGGACCTCCCTGCAGTTTTTCCCAACAGACTGCTCCAAGTGCCTTTGTGCAGCTTTACCCCATGGGGAGGGAAGGTGTCACGACAGAAAAGAGCCACTCTGATCATCGGGTCATCTTCTGCCCATTTCCGATGCTCAGGACGTGGCTTGCTCAGCCTCCCCTTCCTCACTGCCCGTCCTGAGATTCCCTACACATCTGCCTGCTGCTTGGATTGCATCTCATTATTGATTAATGCCCCTAATTACAGCAGCAGCCGGGGGTTCTTAGGATTAATTTTCACAGTTGGTTTCTGCCTGTTAGCTCAGCATTGGGTTTGGTAAATGGAAGTGAGCTGCTCCTGGTGCTTGAGCACCCGGTATTGATGCTGGCTTGGCAAGGGGAGTCCCAGGCTCATCCTGGGGCAGTGCAAAAGAGCTCCATCAGGTCCCTGCACAAGGAAGAGCACGGTCTGAGCTGGCCCTGAGACGTGCCCTCGCTCTTTCACAGACGTGTTGGTGTGGACCAACGACCAGGTCATTCACTGGATCCAGTCCATCGGGCTCCGCGAGTACGCCAACAACCTGGTGGAGAGCGGCGTGCACGGGGCGCTCCTGGCCCTCGATGAGAACTTCGACCACAACAGCCTGGCTCTCGTGCTGCAGATCCCCACGCAGAACACCCAGGTGAGAGCAGGCACCTCGGGGTGTCTCAGAGGAGGGTGCCCAGCGTGGGACACGGCTGCGGGGGGACTCCAGCGGGGCCACCGGCTCAACTCTGCCTTCCAAAGCAGAGCGCTTGGATGGTGCATGGGCTTTTTTCATCTCATTCTTGGGGTGGGAGCTTGGGCTGGAAACTGTTTTCATCAGTGGGGAGCGCTCATTTGTGGTTAATTTCAGGCTCGGCAAGTGCTGGAGAGGGAGTTCAACAACCTGCTCGCCTTGGGCACGGATCGGAGGCTGGATGATGTGAGTACCAAGACTCTCCCATGGCAGGTTAATGCTAAGCCCCTGTTCTTGTGCAGGAAACAGGAGAGGCAGGACCTCTGCTCAACTCCCTCCTTGTCCAGTGGTGTCAAATAGCGCATCATGGACTCTTTAGAGCAGTTGCATGGGCAGTATCAGTGGAATAAGCTAAAACTATTAGACAAGGCCCCAGGGAAAGTGTTTCCAGGCTGTGGATGCAGGTGAGGAAGAGCCTTGTGCATCATTTCAAGCCTCATGCTCAGAGGGCTGAATTTTAGATAGGCTGACTTGGCTTTCCTTGCCTGCTGCTTTAATATTGCCTTTTAGAGTCACAGATGTTGTGAGCACGGCACATCTGCAGTGGCTGAAGCTGGTGGGTTAGAGAAGCCCCATTAAAGCAGCCAGAAAACTGTTCATATTGAGTCACTAAGGGTGGGAATTCATCTGTATCTCTCCTATATGAGAGCAGAGCTGTTCAGGGCTCTCTTTAGAGCACGGTCTTTAGAGCAGATGCTTCCAGATGCCATTATCTCACCAAGGTTATGCATCCCTTGGGGTCTTTACTGGGGTTCGTGCGTTGATGCCTCCAAGGCACCTTTGCAGGCAGGACAGAGAGAAAGGCCAGCTGGAAAGGCTAAAGCCCATGTCATGGCATCCCGGAGAGGTCTCCTATGTCCTTGGTCCGATTCACCCGCACATCTCGGCGCTGTTTGTGCCGGTGTCCGTGTACAGGCACCTTTTACCTTGCTGGGTAGGAGAAGGTATCTCAGAAGGTTCATAACGGGCTCTTCCCTCGCAGGGCGATGACAAGACCTTCCGCCGCACCCCGTCCTGGCGGAAGCGCTTCCGTCCACGGGACGTCCACAGCATCAACATGCTCAGCGGCTCCGCCGAGACGCTGCCCGCCGGCTTCCGCGTCACCAGCCTGGTGCCACTGCCCCCCCCGGCCGCCCCTGCCAAGAAGATGCCCCCAGAAGGTAGGTGTCCCGTCCCCCCCCTCATCTCCCCTCCTCACACCGCAGGGTTAATGTAGAGTCATTGACTCAGAGCCAACCGGGGTGGAAAAGACCTTTGAGATCCAGTCCAACCGCCCCCCAGCACTGCCAAGGCCACCACTAACCCATGGCACTAAGGGCCTCGTCTACATGGGGTGTGAACGCTTTAGGGATGACGTGCCACCAGGAGAGGAGAGAGACAGAGAACTGCTGGTGGTGATGCTGAATCCGTGTGGTCCTTGAGCTGTAGATGGGTTGCTTCAGTCACTGGTCCACCGTGATGAAGGAGAAGGCTGGATTGGGAATGAAATGGGGATGCCCATGGCAGGGGGTTGGAAGTAGATGATCTTAAGGTCCTTTCTAACCTTAACCATTCTATGATTCTGTGTGTGTCACTCATCCTGGGTTGGGCATCCAGGTCAGAGCCTGCTGGGGTAGCACTGGGGGCTGTCAGGAGTCAGTCTTGTCCATCCTGTATTTTGGAAGCCATCCCCAAAGGGACTGAATTAACCAGTTCAACTCAGTCCAAGCACTGCTGAGCACCCACTTTCCCAGGGCTGGTGGGCCCTGCTTAGACATGCCTGCTGTCTGTGCTGGCTGTTGTGTGTTTTAGCTGTCCCAGGCTCTGCCCCACCACCACACAACTCCTTTCTACCACGTTATCTTGGTCCCTTCCAAAGATGCAGGGAGGCACAAGGTCCAGCCAGGTCCAGGTGGCCAAATGTGCCTCTTCCCTTTGACCCTCCTCTTCATGTGGGTGCACAGATGCTGCCTAATAAAGGCTGTGGTGGGAAGCCTGGGGCTAATTGCAAGCTCTGCTCTTTGACTCCCTTCCAGTTGGTGCCTCTGGGTCGCCAAGGCTGGAGACCTCCACGGTCCGGACGTATTCCTGCTGAGGGTCCACGTGATGGGAACCAGCCCGGCCCCGGGTAAGTGGATTGAGGCCTCAGAGCTGGATGGGGACCAAGAGGAGAGCACGAGGCCTCTGCCCAGCATCACCCAGGCAGGGTGTCTGCCTTCACCAAGGTTTGCCTTGCCATGGAGGACCACGGAGACCTCAGTCCTGGGGCTCATCACAGGACACTGAGATGATGCAAAAGGGATGCCCAAGATCCCAACTGCGTGTGGTTTGTCCCATCCCTGGACAGACAGCTCCCCTGGGGACCCCAGGATGCCATCCTGGATGTGGGGGTCCAACTGGGGTTGTTATAGGCAAGCACTTCAGGGAGGCTCCTGGGATCCTGCTGCACCCTGGGACACGGTTTTCCTGTACTAGGATTCATTACTTGCTCTACCTGGATTTGTCGGCCTGTGGGTGCAGAGGTGGAGCTGAGCCACCATCCTCATGGAGCCTTTCCTGCTTTGTTTCCCAGCACATCCCCACTCTCCGTATGGCCACGTGCTGGCTGCCTTTCAGGACAAGAGCCCAGCATGTTCCTCGGCCCAACAGGCGCTGCAGTCTCACTGCTGTGGACCAAAAAGGATTCTCTCCCTTCTGCTTGTGCACCCCACCGCTTCCCCCAGCTCCCCATGGCTCCTGCCTGGGGCTTGTTGCCCACCTCTCCCCGCACTGGCTGCGGATGCGCTCGCTGGGTGCCTGCTCCGTTGCTGGCAGAAGCGTGGTGCAATCCAGGGGAGCAGCAGAGACACCCCAAAAGCGGGCTGAGATATCTGGAAACCTTTCTCCTGCCTGGTTCATGTTGCCAATACACCGTGGGCTGCTGCACCTGAGCCCCGGGCATCAGGGATGGTGCTGCCCACAGGACTTGAAGCCAAGGAAGATTCAGGCTTATGAAATTCCTCACACTGCCGGGCACGGAGCTGCCCCAATGGGGACTGGAGCCAGTGCTGGGGTTGGTGCTGCATGGGATGGAGCAGGGACCAGCCACTGTGGGGACAAGGGGGTGACATCTGCCTAGAGGCGGGCAGCCGGGGCGCTGCAGTTTTGGGTGCTGCCAGATGCCACATGGGGAGAGGCTGCATGGGGAAGGGCTGGAATCGCCCCATAGGGCTCACTGCTGGCTGGGGCAGTACCCAGCATCCATGAGAGAGGGGACACAATGGGGGTACCCACCACCCCGGGACATGCCTGTCCTTTCCCCTCCGGGTACAGAGGAGATGCTCTTCCCCCCCCTGCCTCCAGGCTATGGGCAGGGATCTATCCAGGAGGCTCCAACTCTTCCCATTTCTTCCCCGTAGGGTAGGATCTCTTCATCTCCTCATGCCACGTTTGCCTTGTGTGGCCCCTATTTCTGATGTGATATTTATTGATGGCTGGAATGACCTTATACTTTATCATGTGCTGTCTGGAAGTGCAATACCTGAGAGGCTCTACAGTCACCATGTCTTTTCGGTGTATTATTTGCCTAATACAGTATTAAATATTTTTTTAAGTTGAAGAGTCAGTGAGCCCTTTATATCGAGGCCCTATTTCTTTCGTCATATTATTGGTACTGCATGGACTCCAAACCCTGGATCGGGTCAGGAAAGGATGTATGTGTGTTCCAATAAACAGGATTTTAAAGCAGCGCTGGCTTGAGCCTTCTTTCTAGAGCCCCAGTTAAGAACAGAATTAATCTTTAGCTCCCCCGAGAGTTCCTGGGGTGCAGGGCTGAGCCCCACTGAAATCACTGCTCTCTGATTTAACCGTGGGACATCCAGTTCCCACCAGCGAGCAACCACATTGAGATCCAGCTGGGTTTTCTGATACAGAGAATCATAGAACCCAGGCCTGGTTTGGGTTGAAGGGAGCTTAAAGCTCCTCCAGCTCCAACCCCTGCCACAGGCAGGGACACCTTCCACTAGAGCAGCTTGCTCCAAGCCCCTGTGTCCAACCTGGCCTTGAACACTGCCAGGGATGGGGCAGCCACAGCTTCTCTGGGCACCCTGTGCCAGCGCCTCAGCACCCTCACAGGGAAGAGCTTCTGCCTAAGAGCTCATCTCAGTCTCCCCTCGGGCAGGTTCAAGCCATTCCCCTTGGCCTGTCCCTACATCCCTTGTCCCAAGCCCCTCTCCAGCTTTCCTGCAGCCCCTTCAGGCACTGGAGCTGCTCTCAGGTCTCCCCTTCAGGAGCCTTCTCTTCTCCAGGCTGACCCAGCCCAGCTCTCTCAGCCTGGCTCCAGAGCAGAGCTGCTCCAGCCCTCGCAGCATCTCCATGGCCTCCTCTGCCCTCGCTCCAACAGCTCCACATCTCTTTTGTGTCGTTGCTTCCAGAGGTGAGCGCAGCACTGGGTGCAGGCTGCAGCGCTGCCGTGCACGAAGCCCCGAGCACTCAAACAAGAATGCCTTTATTTAAAAAAAAAAAAAAAAAGAAAATCCAAATAAGTTAGCAAAAATAATCCTTAAAAAAAAAACCCAAAACAAGAAATGGCAACTCCACACAGCGCTGCTAGAAAAGCCACCGTGGTGCTGAGCCCAAAGAGACACCAGCCCCAGAGAGACGTTGGTCGAAGAGCATCTTGGAAGGAAATCAGCAAGCGAACCCAGCACACGTGTTGGCCCCCAAAACCCACTGGCCCTGGATGGGTCCCTTGTGCGACCCGGGGCCATGGCACTGCCCATATCCCACCTCTGCCTCTTATTTTCTCAGCTGGCCGAGCAGGAGCGTTTCAGCGGGAATGGGAAAGAAGTTGAGTGGTCTCAGTGGTGCAGTCCATGATGCCAAAGGGGTAAATGGGTTTTCCAATGGCTGGAACCTTCTGGCATCTTATTCCCACCCCATTACCAGCTCGAAGAGCCGCCAGGGTTGGTGACAGCTCAGTTTTGGACCTGCTCCTCCTGGAACGTCACGGCCACGTCCTCCACGGCGATGCTCTCCACAATGGAGGAGAGGGAGTGGAGGTTGCGGTCCTCTGCCGTGTCATCAGCCAGGAGGTGATCTGTGGAGAGCAAGGGGATGGTGGCTCTGGGGGGATGAGGACTCGCCTGGGGACGGCTCCTGGCTCCACACAGGGCAGATCCAGTGGTCCCCCAACAAATAGAGTTGGGAATCGCCCCTAGCTCCCACCATGGGGGATGATGAGACCTCCCACTGAAGAAGGTGACGGGGAGCGAAAGCTCTGGCCACTTCTTGAGGTTTTATTCCCCATTGGAAAATGAGATTTAAGTTTCTGCTTTCTGGAGCAATAAATGTGTGGATTTGGAAGGGATGGGGATCACTGGAATAACGGGAAAAACAATCAACAGCTGCAGGGGGGACATGGGGAGGGAAAGGGAGCCTGGGGCAGAGATGCTCAGTGCACAGCAATGCTCAGCCCCGCAGCAAAGGTAAGCCAAGGGATGGAGATGGATGAACCCTTGATGGGGACCCAGGCTGCTGCAGCCCAGTTTCTCACCCCCTCCGCTAAGAGAACGTTTCTTGGTGAAATCAGTGAGAGAAGCCTGAACTCACTCAGCATCCAGCCAAAGAGGTGCAGGAGGATTTATGAGTCTGGGGGGAGCCATCCCCGCAACAGCAGGATGGGGAGAGAAGCACAAAGCTCCTTCTATCCTCTGCTCCGATCATTTCCTGCTTGGGGGGCTTGGCTCAGCGATGCTCTGCTCCAGGGCTGTGGGTCCCTGATTGCTGCCCCCCATTGCAGAGCCCAGTGAGGTGGGGAGGACCTTACCTGCGGGGTTGGTGCTGAACTCCAGCTGGCTGCTCCACTCGGGGCTGCAGGACGAGCTGCCGGACCCACACTCGCTGCCCGCCTGCAGGGAGCCAAGGGGTTCACCATGGGTCTCACTTCTTCAGCCCAGCCAAACTCCACCAACCACCCCAAAAGCACCCCAGGGAGCCCAATGCCCTGCGGAGATGGGGACATCTCTCCCCATCTGCAAAGGGGCTTGAGGAGGCGACAGCATTCAGCATCCCCCCGACCCATTGGGAGATGCTTCGTTAACCATAAGGGCTGAAAAAGGGGATTCCTGGGGATCATCTTTGGGCAGTTTGATTTGTGGGCTTGGAGCTGAAGGGGTATTTCAGAGGGAAGAGCTGGCAGCCTGGAAACTGAGGGTGTTACTCAGCAAAGCTCTGCATTCACTTTCCTTCTGTGTGCATCCTTACCTGGAAGTAGATGCTGGCTCAGGTTAGACCCCAAATCTGATTTATAGGGGCAAGCCCAGGGACCCAACTGTTTGTAGCAGCCTTGGAATGGCACTTCGGGTCTGCAAGGCCAGGGCAGCACCAGCCCTGAATCAATGCTTGGATTTACTTCCAGCTAAAGGAGGGCTGGGAGCAGCAGGGACATGGGAAGTGCTCAGCGAGGGCCTGGGCCCATTTACAGGGGCAGCCACAAATCCACAGGGTCAAACCCAAATGCACACATTGGGTTTCTCCTGGGAAGATCCAAGAACGTATAGGATGGAGCTAAAAGGCTTTTTCAGTTGTTTATTCAGCTGTAAATGTTGGGCTACCTGGGTACTGCTGGTTTGTGCTTAAATCCTTCCATCTGAAAGGACGTGAGTCTCTGTGAATCCCTCTTTTCTGTGCCTCTTATAAAGCCTACATCTGCATCTATATCCATGTCTTTATCTGTATCTAATTGTATATCTCTATATCTGTATCTATATCTAAATCTAAATCTATGTCTGTATGACTATATATCTCTAAATCTATAGCTGTATCTATATATCTATATAAGATATAGATATATATATCTTTATCTATATATCCATATATCTATGTATCTAATCTATATATATCTAATCCATATATCTATAACTGTATATCTATATGTATATATCAATATTGACATCTATATATACATACCTATCTCTGTATATCTCTATCTATTCTACATATTGATAGCTAATCCATACATGTCTATATATCTGTAACTGTATATCTATAACTGCATCATCCATAGCTGCAGCTATCAACACAATTCCACACACAAAGAGCCACAGGGAAGCGCACGCCCAGACCCCAGGATTCAGGTCTCAAAAACTTGGATCAATGACCAAGACCCTGTGGTGCGATGGGGCTGGGGAGGAGGCAGTGGGGCTGAGCCCCGGAGCACCCATCCCTATGGAGCGTGGCTGGAGGCAGCGGGTGCTGACCCCTCAATGGCCTTCAGTCAGAGGCTTTGTGGGTTGTGTCACCCCTTGACTTCACAGGGAGAAACCAGGAGCATGATTCTCTCTGTGAGCAGGGGGAGGACTCACATGGGTTTGTTATACTTTGCTATTTTGTTTTATTCCACTTTTGTTTAAATTTAAATTCATTTCATTTGGTTTAAAAGATGCTTTATTTTAGTTTGGTTTGGTTTGATTTTTGTTTCCTTTGATTGCATTTCATTTCATCTCGGTTTATTTCATTATCCATTTTACTCCATTTTATTTCATCTTAGTTCCCCAGTAGGACTCAGTGCTCCAGAGCTGCCCGCAATGCCTCTGCTTGGGATCACCCCCATAGAGCAACACTGCCATGGGGCATCCCCCCCATAGATTAACACTCCCATAGAGCTTGGGATCACCCCCATAGAGTAACACTCCCATAGAGCAAGCACCCCCATAGCACATCACCCCCACAGAGCATCACCCCCATAGACCAACACCCCCATAGAGCAAGCACCCCCATAGTACATCACCTCCACAGAGCATCACCCCCATGGGGCATCCCCCCATAGAGTAACACCCCCATAGAGCAAACACCCCCATAGTACATCACTCCCATAGGTCATCACCCCCATGGGGCATCCCCCCCTAGACCAACACCTCCATAGAGCAAACAACCCTATAGTACATCACCCCCACAGGGCATCACCCCCATAGAGTGCCACCTCCATGGGACATCATCACCTCCATGGGGCATCCACCCATAGACCAACAGCCCCATAAAGCAAACACCCCCATAGTACATCATCACCCCCACAGGGCATCACCCCCATAGACCAACACCCCCATAGAGCAAACACCCCCATAGTACATCACCTCCACAGAGCATCACCCCCATGGGGCATCCACCCATAGACCAACACCCCCATAGAGCAAACACCCCCATAGTACATCACCTCTACAGGGCATCACCCCCATGGGGCATCCCCCCATGGACCAACACCCCCATAGAGCAAACAACCCCATAATACATCACCCCCATGGAGTGCCACCCCACTGGGACATCATCACCGCCATGGGGCATCACCGTGGCACTGGTGGGGACCAGAGGGCTGCCCTGGGGCACACTTACCCCAGGCTGCGCAGCGGCGGGGTGGAAGCGCAGATCCCTCTGCTCCCGCTCCTGCTGGTTGAGGGTGCTGAGCAGGCTCTGCAGGCGCTCGATGTACTGGATGGCGCTGCGCAGGATCTCCACCTTGGGCAGGCGCTGGTTGGGGTTCAGCAGGGTGCTGCGCTTCAGCGCCTCGAAGGCTTCGTTCACCTTCTTCAACCTGCGCTTCTCCCGCAGCGTGGCTGCCCGCCGCCGGTCCATGGACACCGTCTTCCTCTTGCAAACCTTGCAGGCCCAGGGCAGGCATTGCCCGGGGCAATGCTCAGGTAGGGCTGAGTCCTTCTCCTCCAAAGCCACCCTTGCCTCCGGGCACAGGGACACGTCCGGTCGCTCCGGGAATGCCGCCGCCTCGTAGCCCTGTAAGCGGGAGCCCAGGAAGTTTTCCCCATCGTAAAACCTCTGGTCCGGGAAAAAGTAAGGATTGGTCTCAAAGAGCTCCATGGCCACCGGGGCAGCTCGGGGACGGACGTGTGCGCGGCTCGGGGACGGCTGCTCCCTCTCCCCGCACCAACTGCTCGGTGCCATTTAAACCCCGGCGCTGGCATTAAATCACGGAGATAAATATAGAAAACCCAAAGGAAACCTGAGCTCGGGCTGAAGCTGCTGCTGCCTCACATCAAAACTTGTCCATCTGATTTCATGTGCTCTCCCCAACGGGGATTTCACTGCCCAGACCATGCTGGGGCGGGGGGGGAGCGGCTGGGGGAGCTGGCACAGTGGGGACGGCAGCGAATAAGGGCTTTGTTTGAGCCCAGGGGTGCCACTGGGGATGGCCGGTGGCTGCCAGCTCCCCCCCGGCATTCCAGCATCACCTGGTCCCTTCAGTTATGGCTGGGATGGGGGGAGCCCACGGTGGCCTCATGGCCAGGCTGCACGGCCAAGGCACCCTCATCCCTCCATGGCTGCACCCCTGCATCCCACAGCACCCCGGATCCGCACCTGGACCCGGCACTGCCATAGCATCTTCTGCTGCTCAGCCTTTACCACCTCCCCACCACATCGCTCCTGCTCACCCCATCTTTCCAGCAGCATAAAGCCCTGATCCTGCTGAAGCTGTGGGGAAGGGGAGGAATCCAGCCCCACGGGGGACATCCCAATTCAGGGAGCACCCCAGGGTCCAGCCCTTTCTCCATGGGCATCCTTCACTGTGCAGTACCTGTCCTGGTACCAGCCACTGCACTCTGCTGCCCATCTCTCCTCCCTGATCCACAGGCAGGATGGCTCCAGGCCCAGACTTTCCTCCACCAGGAGCTTCCTGAAGTTTCCTGGCTGAGTCCCTTACCCCAGAGCTGCATTTTTAGCCCAAAATCCATGTTCATGGCTTCTCCTATGCACTAAACCCAAAGGGCTCCATGCCCCAAACCCAAAGGGCTCCATGCCCCATCAGAGGAGCCCAGCTGGGATGGATCCCACTGACTTAGCCAAACTGGCCTCTCTACCTGTGGATAATCCATCTCCCAGTAAAGACACACTGCTCCCACATTCCCAATGGGGAAACTGAGGCACGATCATGGACACTGCACGAGCATCAGTCCCCTCCCTTCCCTACTGACCCCAACCCTTTGACCGCATCTCTCCAGCTTTGTCTTTACTTCAGAGGGGATGGTGGGTTTTTTCCATCGGGAACGTCAGAAACCATCTCCCATCTCCTCCTATTCCTGCTCCAGGCCAGATTCCAGCTGAGGGATCGGTCAGTGGAAAGAATGTCAGCAAAGAGCAGGGCCAACCCTGCCGGGTTTTTCCTTCCCCAAATCCCCCCTCCCACAGAGGCCACATTCCCCGTGCCTGCTGCTGGCACCGCTGCTCACTTTGGGTTCATTTCCAGCCTTTTTGGAACCCACCATGATGTTCTCCTCTATTTGGAGTGATTTCTTTGGGGCCAGGAGTCTTATAACACATCCTCAGCCTGATCTCAACTGTCCCAGGGTGTCAGCCCGCAGGGTTTTAGCATCCTGCGGTAAGGAAAGCAGCACCTTCAGCTTCGAGGGTCACCCTCAGCACAGCACCTGAGCTCCAACCCCAGAGCACTCGAGAAGGAAAGAAATCATAACACCTCCTTGGTCTCTGCATAAGGAGAAAGCACTGAAACAGGTAGGAAGAGGCAGGAGTGCGCAGAGCAGCCAGCAGCAGGCACAAAGGTGTTGGGAGGGGATAACTTGAGCCTGATGGCTTCACATCACCGCACTCCGGGGATCTTTATTGGTCACACTTGCTGTGGACATGGCCCTGGGGAGCCCCTGGAGCTGCAGCCGGGTCCCTGGGTGTGGGTACCTGCAGCACTGCCCTGGCTCACCACGTCAATGGGCTTTTCCTAACTGCAAGAACCTATTTGGAGGGTGAGGAACCCGGCGGTGACATAAATGACTCCCAGGGCATGTGGTGGACCCCTACAAGAGAGCAGTCAAGCATTTAGCACTTCATAAACCAGGGCAGCATCAGTGGAGCAGGGCATGGGTTGAGCCAGCTGCGATGGGCCACCAAGGCCACCGTGTCCTGAACAGGCAGCGGAGACAGGAGGTGGTCCATGAAGACCGTGAGGGAAGGGAAGCCAGGGCCAGAGCGGGATAGGGACTGGGAAGAAGGACCCCAGCTACCTTTGGGGGGTCTCATCCAGGCTGCCAACATTGGCCCTGCTGTGAGGAGCTGGAATAACACTGTGCTCCTCCGTCAGACCCGCTGTGCCAAGGATGACCCTAACCCTGGGCATGGCGAGGGGACACAGCGGGGTCCGGGGTCCCTGGGTCCCAGAGGATATCAGGAGAGGGATAATGACTTCTCCTGGGCAAGATCACCAACGAGGGACCCCAATGAATGTGTTATGGGACCCCATCCGCACGGTGCAACCCAGGAGCAGCTTGTCCCGGGTCCCATGGGTGCCCCCGGTGGCTGCAGGCTGCGCCCTGCCTGATGCGGAGCTGTCGGGAGGATTAGGGCTCTGCTGCCGGCTGTCAGGTTAGCCCGTGATGGATGGTGGCGGCTGGGAGGGACACAAAGGGAGGCTGTGCGAGCCCCGGGCAGAACGTGCTGCGATCCGTCACGGGGTGACCTTCCCCCGGCTGCCGGAGGCCTCGCGGGGACGGCTAAAAATACCCCTCCATTGAGGAAACCCCGCTCCTCCGGGGCAGCTTCCATGGGGCAGGGTCATGGGGAGATGCCCCCGGGGCTTTCCCACCGTGGTTCATGGTGTTGATGAGATGAGTTTGGGGGCGGCACAGCATAGGCTCCTGGAATCAACCCGTCTGGGAAAGACCTTTAGGGTCATCAGGTTGGACCAGCACTTGCCAAGGCCACCACTGACCCATGGCACTGAGCGGGTGTGAGCACTTGCAGGGACGGTGACTGCAGCCCTGCATCGGGCAGCCTGTTCCAATGCCTGAGCACCCTCTGGGGCAGGAATTGTTCCTCAGCTCCATCTAAACCTGCCCTGGGGCAGCTCGAGGCCGTTTCCTCTTGTCCCATCCCTTGTTCCTTGGGAGCAGAGCCCAGCCCCTCCTGGCTCCATCCTCCCCTCAGGCAGTTGTAGGCAGCCATCAGGTCCCCCCTGAGCCTTCTCTTCTCCACACTGAACCCCCCAGGTCCCTCAGCCCTTCCTCACAAGACTCATCATTATAACATCAGCATGTTGCAGGCTGCAGCACATCCCTCCTTGCTGCATGGAGTTGCACACACTGGTTCCATGTCCCTGCTTGCTGCATGGAGCTGCACAGTCCCCACACTGGAGAAGTGATGGTGGGGATGATGCCAGTTGACTTCTTCCATTGGGAAGGGCAGAAGAAGTAGCAGGCTTTAAGTGCTGGTGAAGTGATCCAGGTGGTTAAGGCAGCATCCACACCCTCAGGACGTGGGTACCACCCTGCTGATGCGCTGGCTAGGATGCAGCAAAGAGATCCCATTGGGATTTCAACACAGGAAAGGCATCCCTCCAAAATGCCACTTCCAATGGGACCCACCTTCCCGTTCCCCCCCTACCCCTGCACCCCACTGCCCCGCATCCCCTCTGGCCTTCCATGCTCACCGACATCCCTTCCTGCGCCGTGACAAGTCCTAACATATTTGGGAGCAGCTGCAGGCGGCGGGAGATGCTTGGCCCTGTCCCCGCTCCCGGCCGAGGAATGCGGAGCAGACCTCTCCGACACCCGGGATTTCCGACGTGCCTTCCAACGGGGATTTGGGACGGCGACAGCTGCTTGGCCACGCTGGGGCCACGGCAGAACCTGCCCCTTCGCCCCCATCCCCGCAGCCAGCCGCTGTGCACAGCCACGTCTCGGCCTGCCGCCGGGTAGGGCCAGGGGTAGGTCCTGCATGGGGAGGGATGGGGGACGATGTCCGGTGTCTGTCCTCCACTGGGATGGGAGCAGTGGTGGCAGCGCTGTCCGACAGCCCCGTCCTCACCCATACGTGCCAGTTTGGGGTGGGATGGGAGGGCAGTGCCATGTCCCCATGGGGCTTGACATAGAATCATGGAATCATGGAGTGGTTTGGGTTGAAGGGACCTTAAAGCTCCTCCAGCTCCAACCCCTGCCACGGGCAGGGACCCCTTCCATAGAGCAGCTTGCTCCAAGCCCCTGTGTCCAACCTGGCCTTGAGCACTGCCAGGGATGGGGCAGCCACAGCTTCTCTGGGCACCCTGTGCCAGCGCCTCAGCACCCTCACAGGGAAGAGCTTCTGCCTAAGAGCTCATCTCAGTCTCCCCTCTGGCAGGTTAAAGCCATTCCCCTTGGCCTGTCCCTACAGGCCCTTGTCCAAAGCCCCTCTCCAGACACCATAGAATCATTAGCCATCTAGTCCACCTCCCCCCTGCCTCAGTTTCCCCATCATTAAATCAGGGATGATGATGGAGGTCTGAAGTCTGGCTGGAGAACAGTTTTATTTTGGTTCTTAACTGCCTTTATAGGTTTGACCTGGGATGGGTTCTGGCTATCAGCAGAGAGGGGCTGGTGTTTGAGCAGCTCCCATTCCACTGGATCCCAGTCTGGGGACAATACTGGGTGCCCCAGCACACCAATCCTTCGGATCCCAGCCAGGGGGTATTAGTGGGCCCCTGGCCCCGTAGTCTCTTGTGACCACCCTGTGTGCCCTGACCCTCCAGTTGCCAGTATCTCAGTCTGGAGACCAACCCAGGTGCCCCAACACACCAGGTTCCCATCTGGTTCCCGGCCCATATAGCAGACATCCTGAGATCCCTGCCTGCCTACACTGATGGGGTGATGCTCTGCCCCACAGCCAGCACTAAACCTCCTGATGTGCCCTTCCTTACCCCTGTCACCCCAAGTCCTGGACACAGCCCTTCCCTATGGAGGAGGGATTCACCCAGCAGGACCCCACTAATGAACCACGGGCTCTCCCTTCCAGAATCCCCCCCATGGCAGGGGCACCCCCAGCACATTAGAGGCTGCTCCTCCATCTCCTCCAGGGTGGCCCCTGCCTCGCTGTCCCCACACAAAGGGACCTGGGGGGAGAACACACACCCGGGTTGTCAACAAGGGCTTGT